TTTTTTTATCATGTCCAGCCAAGGCTGTTTGAGATTGTGCTGTCATGATTTGATGTTGACATCTCCCCKCTCCCCAGCTTTCCCCCACACTCCATTGCATCGCAAGCTAATTTCAAAAYTCAGCCACAGAGTAGCAGATGCCAGACTGGTGTCAGCACAAAGTGACTGATGAGGAGCCTCCTGTTTGCTRGGTCACATGCTGGTCATGTTGCAAATACAGTACGTACAGTTGTCCCCCAGCTTGCAGCCCCTCTGTGATTTATAATACATTAGTGATTCGGTTCTATGTGCTCAGCTTCGGTTAATCAAGGWTTAAATAATAAATGGATTTATGCTGCTGCTGCTTATTTTTTTGAGCTGTGAAGTGCTATACACCTGGCATTCGGTGGTAGCTTCGTGCAGCAGTCTCTGACTCTTTGTGACACTAATTTGATTTGAGTGGCGAATAATTGTATTACTTCCACTGATATGGGCGGTTGGCTCTCCACCACAACCACAAATGTAATGTGACTATAGAGAATGAGGTTTCTGAATTGGCACTTAAAATGTTGGTCATTTACAATTATCCACATAAAAGGATAGCTGTAAAATCCAACAAGGTTTTGTTTGATAGATTTGAGAAATTTCACAGATTGTGAATATTGCGGTGAAACTTTGTTGTCCTGAAACATAAAATTGAAAGATGCAGAGCAACAGGTTGGAACAAGATTCYACTTTTGTGGCTGTTTCTGGACCTTCCCATGGTGCTTCACTTTGACTCTGTTCATGTTTTATTTTCTGTTCTCTGGGAAAAAAACACACTAAAGGTGATGGCTTTTATTCAGTGTGATGACTCAGAGGTATTAATGTGCTGCCAGCTCTAGTTTGAGTGACTGTAAACTGTAGAACAATCCAGAGAGAGAACTTGGACACGTCTTAATAACCAAAGGGACATGGTGACAAAATATCTGTTCTTAAATATAAGGAAGCTTTGAAGAAAAATGATACATCTTAGTGGCACATTGTGTGGTTAACAACATAATAGAGATATCTACTAAAATCATGTCTCAAAAACATGCAAACACGTGTTTGTTTTAGTTGCACCTATCATTTTCCTTTTTAAGGTTCATTACACACAGTGCAGAAACAATTTGCAATAGTCTGCMTGCTTATAAAAATCTTACAAAATGGACTATTTTTGGAGCTATGATGGTTTATGAGCAACGGTGTTGGTCAAACTAGTCAAATTTTACTTTTTGCCTTGGAAGCTGGTGTGTTCAGGAATACATATTACATGGGTCCAAATATGAACAAATTTTGTAAAGTCTCAACTTTGTTAACATGTACCTGTACCGAGTTGAAGATTAAGAATCAGTTGCTACATAACCTTAAATAAACTGCTTTGCTGTTGTCATTGATGTGACATTTTGTTCTTACGTGTGATCTTGTTGCAGTTTTTGTATCTGTTCACAGGTGGGCGTAAAAATAGATCAAACTGTGGTAGTTGTGCAAGTTATTTTTGCGAGTTTAGAAATGTTTAGTGAGTATCTGGAGAGCAACGSCCAGCATGTTAAGACTTTTGTTGTGACGGATGAATGAAGTTGTGCCAGTGAGTTTTGTTGTTATGACATTGTGGCTGTAATGTATTATTATTATTACCCCCGCATGTGAAGCGGGGGGTCATTTTGTTTTCATGCTGCGTATTTATTTATTTATTTATTTATTTATTTATTTATTTATTTATTTATTACTATTAATTCTTTTTCAGTGATTTTTGATCAACCTTAGCACAGAAACGGCTGCACCGATCAACATGAAATTTGGCAGGAATGTAGACGTGTCCGATCTATGATAGACTCCATGTTTGAGGAGGGGGGTTTTCGGTGTTTTAATTTATTGATTTTTGTTGTTTTGATTGAAACTGAGCAACAAATTACATATTCAAAAAATATTCAGAGAAAACATACATAAATTATTTATTGTGTTTCCTTTAACAAACATGCATATTCTTGAATACTTGACTATTAAAATATAAATCTAATCCTAATCTGGAGAGACAGTCCTAATAAGCTTTCTGTGAGCTCTTTTGTTTGAGGCCAAAGAGAGAGGGATGGTACAACCAGAGTTTGACACTTGACCTGGCTGAGAGCCAAATGTGGTCCAGGCTTTGCTACAGTCAGTGTTGTAAGAGTTTTCTATGATGCTAAAATGGTGTTTAAGTGGATTTGCTGTAACAAAAAATATGCATATATATTCTTTCTGAGTTCATATTAGTGTAATTTAAAATTGGTTTTTCCATTTTCACATTCGCCAGTCACAATATTTCAGTTTACATCAGAGCACTATAAAATATTACACCATATACATTTTGTGTGAAARGAACATCTGGAAAGGTGTGAAAGTGCCTCTTGGCAAAGCCCCAACAGTTGTAAATACCCAGCAATCCCTTTTGCCACATACACACAATTTATCCTCCATTGGTTAGGGGAATTAACAGTGATTTGCAGTCATAAGGTTGTGTGGAGAGAGATGGGAATGACCCCCAACTATTGGCTCTATTTGTTATGTGCTCACTCTGATGTGTGGGTTTTGAGCAGAGGGTAGAGTTCTCTCATTTTCACTTATAGGGGTCTCAGACTCAGAGGGAATGACCAAAGAGTGGTCAGATCCAGTCAGCTTCAATTACAGCCCCTTGTAGGTTTCCCAGGGGGGCACTATAGCTGCTTTAAGGGGAAATCAATGGGGTGACAAATTGTTGTGGACAGCAACCCCTTTTATTTCTTACATTGTTGCACCCATGCTTGGATGCTCCTCTAAGCACATTTGTGTGCATTTGTTTCTGAGTGTGTGCGTGTGTGAGTTTGTTTGGCATGCGTACTTAAATAAATAGCCTCATCTATGATAATTGAATGCTTCGGTCCATTTGTGTTTTGGTGGTTTATTTTCTGCTTGTGACTTTAATGGCTTGTTATTTGTCTAAACTTGTTTTTAAATGCTCTCTAATGGTTGTTCACGTGCTTCGCCCACTGACACTTATTGCTGCTTTGTGTTGTTTATTTATCACAGTAACAATGTTGAAGTTTTTCTTAAGGCTTTTATTTTTTGTCAAGTTCTCATTTCTTAGTGCGTCTGATGGTTAATAAGCACAGAGTTGCTTGAGGATTGTTTTTAAAAAAGGGGGAAAAATGTCACTGATGGTAAATTCCAGCAGATAATTGTGAACTAAGTTTAAATTAGCTATTCATTTTTGTTCCGTGTCAGATAATTTATGTCAGATTTAATTCTAAATGATCATGAGAAAGATGAAACTCGTACCTAGATCAATGAAATTAGAATTCCTTGAAGGAGTGCATAATGCCCAACTGCTTGCATGCTAAGCTTTTAAACATATATATTATATACA